CCCCAAAACCCCAAAACCCCAAAACCCCAAAACCCCACTCTACACTTCCGCATTGAAACTTAAATCCATTAATCCCTACACCCTTGCACCATCCTCATCAAAAACCAGGAACATCTCCAAATCCCCTTCTCTCCCTTGTTTCAAAAACTCTAAACTATAACACCTTCTCTTACCATAATCCTCATCTGGGAGTCTTAAGTTCTTCAGAGTCAGAGAGACCAGGCCTCTTCCTTTGTAGGCAGGGTTCTGTACGGCTTCAGTTGAGATTTTGTGCAGGAGGGAGTGGATTATTTGGGTCATGGGGTGAGTGGGCTTGAGGGAAGTTGAGGTTGGGTTGTAGTTGAAAGCGTTGGGGGAGGAAGGGAATGAACGTGGAGGCTGGATTGAGGGTGGGGAGGATGTATAGTTACGCTTTGTTTTTTGTTTTCATTCATTATGAGGACCAAAAGTGGAACAATCGATAAAAGAGAGACTATATAATGGCCTATTTTTTCAATATTTTTCTATTGATTCAATTTCTTTCTTTTCTTCTTTTGGCTTATAATATTTCTTCAAGTATTTATCAAAATAAGTTACATGCACATCTTTGCATTCTTCATTATCAATATTATCAAATTCTCCATCTTCGTCGGTCCTGTTTGAGCCAGATTTAATTGACGAATCTTTATCCTCCTTTTCCTCTTGGTGATGTTGCTGAAATTCTTTGAATTTTCAGTTGTTAAATACTAATCTTTCGGTTGCCAAAGAAATTATCTTATCCAACTGTTTGTCATTAAAGCAGAAGTTCTTGAAGATAATAGTATCAATATTTTTGAGGTTTCACATTGAGATCAAGTTATTAAAATGCTGAAAACCAGTTCTCTCAAAGAATTTTTGGCTTGACATTTTTAAGCTTGGATCAAAGGCAAAGCATACTTCTTCTCAATCTTTGTTGATGAGGTATGTTAAGTTCCTAAATACAATAAAGATGAAGAGAAATTTTTTCTTACTGATTTACTGGATTTTTCTCTGATTCGCCTACAACTCTTGAAACAATTGTGCTATTTCTCTTCTTTATCACCAACCAGCAAGAACATAAGTTCCATTCTTCTCTCCTCAGGATCCCAGTTGAACTGTATCTTGTAACAGTTCTCATATATACTCTTTCATAATTCTTGAGCAATCTTTTGTTGCTTAGTCTCAACTTCATCTTCTATAATGTCAGCAATTATTTCATCTATTTCTTGAATGATTTCATCATCTTTCATGCTTTCAAGATTTTCTTTATGGAGCTTAACATCCTTTTCGTATTGATCAAGTTCATGTCCGTGGTCCTTATTAAAATCATTTATTCTTTGTTGCTCTGTTCTACTCCAAAGAATAAAAAAAGAGACAAATTTTTTAGCAGTTCCGTTAAGATTATCTTTCTTCTTCGCGACTATTTTATAGTTATCTCATTGTTATTATATTTAATTTCACTTACGCTTTGAGTGTGCACTTTCAAATGCATTTATTATGGACTTTTGATCTTGAATTGAAGGAAGCTGGTCAACTTTCTTTTTTATTTCAATGATATTGATCTTTTCATGACATATTTCTTTGAAAAAATCGGGATCATTCTTCAAACGCTCAGAATCAATTGAATTCCTGAGTTGTTCGATATAGAAGTCAATATAATAATGACTAAAATTGTTTTGGTCTTTTCGATCTGGTTGCTTACCAGCCTTCTCCATTTATAATTAATTACAATTTTAAAGTTAATTTGGGGTTTTGGGGTTTTGGGGTTTTGGGGTTTTGGGG